CTACTTTTCTATTGCTCTCTACTAGTGAGAAACATTTTTTTCCTTCTCTGGCAGGTTTCTGCCTTACACAGGTTTGTCTTTCATAGGTTTTACTGTATATTCTACGAAAAAAAAATACTTTGATGTAGATACAATGAATCTATGGTTTGTCATAGAAGATAAATATATAAGCACAAACACAGACACATGCACACACACACAATTTAGACAAAAACAGTATGTTCATTGCATAAGATGAATACAATCAAATATTTTATACATTATGAATTCAGGCCCCAGTCTAGTTAAAATCAATCCATTTTCTCACTGGTTTCTGCCTCTTTCCCCTTTGTTCCAGTTTCTGTTTTTCCTTTTAAATTTGTTTCCACTTCCATTTTTCATGATATATTTTGATAGGTGAGATTGTTAATGCAAAGGGATCCAGGAAAAATAGAGAAATGCCACCTTTGCCTCCTCTTCCAGGACAGAACAACCTCCCTTTCCTCCGTGTACAAAGTAGGCAAAACACATACTCTTCCCCCCAACCTCAACTGGGCCAAATGCTGAATGATGGTCACCAGGTTGTTTTGCTTCCAGAGAAGGAATTTGTTTGCTGTCGATAGGTCACCTGCCCTCCTGCCCAGGATCAGCTTCCCACCCAAAACCCTGCGTGGTTCACTCCTGGAAGGCTTCCAGGCTTCAGCCAGCACAAACATGTCTCAGCAAGGGCAGCGATTGTATTTGCACATGTAATTGGTTTAAGCACAGGCTTTGTTTGCTTCTTAAAAAATAAAATAAAGCTTTATTATTTTATTACTGTCAAAAGAATTTGGCCTTTAACCTGCAGTTTCCCTTCTCTCAGTAATATAATCCTCCTTTTCTGATAAGAGGTGAGGCCCAATGGAATTTTCTTCTTTCCTCTCACTCCTGGGAGTGAGGTAATGAACTAGTAACTCCTTTGGACCCTCTTTCATATCAACAAAAATGATAGGAGGAAGTCTTTGGTAACACGGAGGAAAAAATCAGAACCTTTTGGCATGATAATATAGAGAAATATGCAATTAGAACTGATCAATATCTATAAGAGAATGAGATGTTTATTGTGTAGTTGCTTCACCCGGAAGCCACATCAAGAAAGTGATTTCATTGATGCTTCCTCCAATGGACAGAACAGAAGGGATTTGAACCCTCCAGCTATTGCTCAGCTATACCAGGACTTGAGAACTAAAACTGCAGAGGGACAGCTGAGGGGGGAGGGCTGTCTGGAGAATAAAGGGAGATAGAACAAAGAGAGAAAGGCCTCCCTGTAGCCCACGGAGGAGGAAATTCTTCTTCTTCTTTTTAATATGATTTTATCTTAGTTGTTGTTATTGAGAATATACACAGCAAAACATACACAAATCCAATAATTTCTATACGTACAATTTATGACATTGATTACATTCTTCAAGTTGTGCATCCATTCTCACCCTTCTGTTCTGAGTTGTTCCAACTCTACTGACATAAACACACTGCCTCCTATATTTTCTGTCTACTCTTTTGAGATGCTGTTGTCAGTGTGAACCCATATAGGTAGTTCTTAAAAGTGCACATTTTCAAGGCAGACATTCTATACCAGTTAAGCTAAATGATTGCTCAGTTTTAAGAAGATTTCAGGGGATATTTTTATTTAAAGATTATCTCAAGATAATAGTTTCAGGGATTCATCCAGCATCTGTGGCCCCAGAAAATTTAAATTCCAAGAGAATTTGAAATTTCTGTTCTACATTTCCCCTCTTTTGGTCAAGAGTCTTCTATAGAATCTTCCATCAAAATGTTCAGTAATGGTAGCCAGGTATCATCCATTTCTTCTAGTCTCATGGCAAAGGAGGCAGTTTTCATAGAGGCAATAGGCACACATTCCATTTCCTCCTCCTGTTCCTGACTTTCCTTTTTCTTCTGTTGTTCCAGGTGAATAACAACCAATTGTTGTACTTTTCAGGCTTTAACCCCCGGCACTACACAATGAACTAGGAGGTAGAACAGAAGTATTGAACACATTATTAGCCCAATTAACTGGGTTGTCCCATGAAACCATGATCCTAAACCTCTGAGGAGGAGGATTCTTGTGGACTGATGCAACCAATGGAAAAAGCCCAAGAACTGCTTCATACTATCCTATGGGACCTGTGTTTCTGCCTAAACACTAAGAAGTGGGTTGTTGTTTCTCTTTTCAAGTAATTGTCCATGCATTAGTTTTCTATTCTGCATAACATATTACCACAAACTGAAAGGCTTAGAACAGCACAATTTATTATCTCACAATTTCTGTGGGTCAAGAATCTGTGCACAGGTTAGCTAAGTCCTCTGTCCATGGTGTCACCAGGCTCCAACCAAGACATTGGCAGAAGCTAGGTTCTAATCAGTGGCTCAGCTGAGGTAGGATCCACTTCCAAACTCCTTTAGGTTGTTGGCAAAATTTATTTTCTTGCCATTGTAGGAGTCATGGCAGCTTGCTTCTTCAAAGTCAGCAACAAAGAGAGAGACTCTAGTGCAAGACTATTAGCAATATGGGGTCTTATACACTTACTCCTTACTTATTAAATATCTCATTATCCAATGTTTTGCATTTATGAAAATATTACAAAATCTACAATCTGACTATTTTGGACATTAACGAGGCAGCAGCTGCAGAGTGTCCCCTCCATTGAGGGAGGTCTCCAGGCAGACTCTGGTAAGCTGGGCCAGGCTGTGCCCTGTGGCCCCTGTTCCCTTCTGCCACATGTAGCTGCCATGAAGGGATGGCGTGGCCATGGCCTCTGGGTGGACAGGCAGGCAGCACCAAGCCAGTGGGCACTTGTTCTCGTTTCCCAGCTTCTGTGCGGTCTGAGGCCCTGCAGCTCAAAATTGCTGCAAGGTGGAAAGTGAGGGAACAAAGAGGCATTGAAGAGGGTGTTTGAAAGAAATGTGTCTAAGTTTAATGACGTTCCAAAATGAGCTGACCTGAAGCGTCTACTTCAGTGGGGCCTGAAGACTCTCCTCAAAAAAATTTTTAAAAGGTGTGAAACAGAGATCACAAGGGCCTCCTTAAACGCTAACATTTAAGGGTATGGCTAAGGAGCCACAAGGCTTTCTGGTGATGTAATGGTTAAGGCATTTGGCTGTTAACCAAAATCAGTAGTTCAAACTCACCAGTTGCTCCACAGAAGAAAGATGAGGGAGTCTGCTTCCATAAAGATTTACAGCCTTGGAAATGTAATGGGGGTCACTATGAGTCAGAATTGATTCAATAGCAGTGAGTTTGGTTTTGGTTTTAAGGAGCTATAGAAACAAATATTATAGAGGAACAATAAAGTGAGGGGAAATAATTTACATAATACTCACATACCCTAATCTAAAAATAAAATAAAATTTGGAGTTTTTCTTAGCAGTGATTGTTGTTAGGTGCTGTCAAGTAGGCTCCAACTCATAGCAACCCTATGTACAATAGAACAAAACACGGCCTGGTCCTGTGCCAATCCCACAATCCTTGCTATACCTGAGCCCATCATTGCATCCACTGTGTCAATCCATCTCATTGAGGGCTGTGATAGTTGGAGCTGTGTGTCAACTTGGCTGGACCACAATTCTGTGTGGTTTCAGCAATTGTGATGTGAGTTGTTCCAATGATGGGATCAGATGTATATGTTTTGAGCAGCCAATCCATTGAAAGGGAGGTTCCCTAGGGGTGTGGCCTGCTTCCAGTATATTTATGGACATCCTGGGAAAAGAGACATTTTTTTCTGGATCGGGATTCTGTTGTGCTGTCTACAACTGTCCATGAGCAAACAATACATCATTCGGCCTGGAGACCTTGGATTCGTCACTCATTGGAGTCAGCAGCCAGTACACTGCCTTCCAGCCTTGAGCTCCTCAGCCCCTGCAGCTGAGTGAGTCAGAAAAAGCCTCCAGCTTGAAGTTTGATCTAAGAACTTGGGACTTGCCAGCTTCTATAAGTGTGTGAGTCATTTTCCTAAGATAAATTTCTCTTTCTCTCTCTCTCTTTCTATAAGTTTTACTAGTTTTGCTTCTCTATAGAACCCAGTCTAACACAAGGGTCTTCCCCTTTTTTGCTGACCCTCTACTTTACCAAGCATGATATCCTTCTCCAGAGACTGGTCCCTTCTGACAGCATGACCAAAGTAGGTGAGACGAAGTCTGGCTGTTCTCGCTTCCAAGGAGCATTCCGGCTGTACTTCCAGGACAGATTTGTTAATTCTTTTAGCAGTCCGTGGTACATTCAGCATTCTTCACCAACACCACAACTCAAAAGCATCAACTCTTCTTTGGTCTTCCTTATTCATCGTCCAGCTCTCACATGCATATGAGGTGACTGAAAATACCATGGCTTCCGTTAGGTGCACCTTCATCTTCAAAGAGACATCTTTGCTCTTCAGCACCTGAAAGAGGTCTTTTGGAGCAGATTTTCCCAGTGCAATATGTTGTCTGCGTTCTTGACTGCTGCTTCCATTGGTGTTGATTGTGGAATCAAGTAACATGAAATCTTTAACAACTTCAATCTTTTCTCCATTTATTGTGATGCTGCTTATTGGTTCATTTGTGAGGATTTTCATTTTCTTGATGTTGATTGAGATGTAATCCTTACTGCAGACTCGTGTCTTTAATCTTCATTAATAAGTGCTTCAAGTCATCATCACTTTCAGCAAGCAAAGATGTGTTGATGGCATGATATCTACAGTCATACAGATATAGGCTTGAATCCCTACTTTAAAGTTTCATTGTTGTTAGCTGCTGCCAAATTGGCCCCTCACTCATAGTGACACCATGCACAACAGAACAAAATGCTACCCAGTCCTGCACCACAACCATGATTAGTTGTAGATAGGACTGTTGTGACCTATAGGGTTTTCAATGACTATTTTTTATAAATAGACTGCCAGGCCTTTCCTCCTAGTCCATCTTAGTCTGGAAACTCTGCTGAAACATGTCCTGCAACACAGCAACATGCAAGCCTCCACTGACAGATGGGTGGTGGCTACCAGTGCACTGGCTGGGAATCAAACCCTGGTCTCATGTATGGAAGGCAAGAATTCTACCACTGAACTACCAATGCCCTCACTTTAAAAGTAGTAACTGCTTAGCCTTACTAAGCCCCAGTTCCCATCTGTAAAACGGGAATAATGAAACCTACATTTCATCCCTCATATTTTGGTCATGTTTTCAGAAGGGACCAGTCCCTGGAGAAAGATATTATGCTCGGTAAAGTAGAGGGTCAGCAAAAAGGGGGAAGACCTTCAATGAGATGGAGTGATGCAGTGGTTGCAATGATGGGCTCAAGCTTGGCAACAATTGCAAAGATGGTGCAGGACCAGGTAGTGTTTCATTCTGTTGTACATACGGTCGTTGTGAGTCAGAATCAACTCAGATGGCACCTAACAACAACAACAGCTTTAGGGTTGTTGTGGAAATGAAAATGGATAAAGTAGGTAAAACACATAGCAAAATGTCTGGCATAGAAATGTTGAATTTGACCACTATTATATCAGTTAAAACGTTTAGGCATTATCACAGAATCTTTACAATGTGCTGCATGCAGAGACAACTTAATCCCTATAGCCAGGTGCTGTTCTGATGTCTGAGGGGATTTGGAAACTGCTTGGCTTCTTACTTCCTGGAGAACTGTGGGTACTCTCTAACTCTTAGTGCTCTGAGGTGAGGTCTACCAGAGGTCTCCAGTCCACCATCTCTTACATCTTCATCAATGGTACCAGTAGCAGGAATTTTGTAATGCTGGGTTCAAGATCCCTGCAGATGCCTGAACTTCACAACTGAAATGCCTCAGAGGGTTGGCCTCACCCCAGATATCTCAACCCACCCACAGGTAGGAACTCTGAGATCAGAGTAATTGTCTTAGCACAACATTTGTATCTGCTAGTTTGGGTTAGGCCTTGGAAACTGGCTTCTGAGACAGGTTCATGCAATTACTCACTGAATAAATACTTTTTCAACACCTACAATGTGCCAGGCACAGGTATAACTTTAGAGATAGAAAAGTAAGTAATACAGAACCCTCACCTTAAGCAGCCCATTGGCCAATGTGAAGGCAAACCAAACCCACAAAGTAAAGCTGACCCTTAACTTTGGACAGCAATATATTGTGACATCTTTCCTGAATCCATTGTTGTTGTTGTTGTTATGTGCCATCGAATCGGCCCTGACTCATAGCGACCCCTCCTTGGGTTTCTGAGGCAGTATCACTACAGAAGTAGATTGCCCAACCTTCCTTCCAGGGAGTGGCTGGTGGGTTTGAACCTCCAGCCTTCTGATTAGCAGTCAAATGCCTTAGGCACTATGCTACCAGAGCTCCTGTGAATATGGAAACTTTTGGGCAGGCTCCTCACTTACTCCTTGCTCTCTCCCATATCTCAGCTCCACCAAGACCCATTCCAGCACAGCTCGTCCTTCCTGCACACAGTCTCACACTGCTTTTGTGTTTCCAACTTCCACTACAGTTTTATGCCTCACTTGATAATCCCTTTTCATACTGGCTAGCATACTTACTAGGGAGCTCTGGTGATGTAGTAGTTGAGGCATTTGGGTACTAACAAAAAGGTCAGTAGTTCAAACCCACCAGCCACTCCATGGAAGAAAGATAGGGCAGTCTGTTTCCATAAAGGTTTACAGCCTTGGAAACTCAATGAGGGTTGTTATGAGTCAGAATTGACTCAATGACAGTGAGTTTGAGTTTTGAGCATACTTACTAAGACAATTTCCCAAGTCAGGTTTTCATTTCTCTGCAGAACATGTACATGGACTCATTCACTTCATAGATCTTAAGTACTTCCCAACTTAATGGTCCACTCTCTCATTTACCCCAAACTTCTAAGGATTTTCTGGCTAAAAACAGCCACTTTAGCAGAGCTCATTACTTTTCCTTTAGTTGTATCAATGACATCAGCTGATAGTCCTTTTAAAACCTTGTTTTCACAGAGAAATGCAGTGTTTACTGGCTCCAAGGAGTTATTCTATATGCTGACGAATAGAGAAAGCAAAACCATGTTCAGGTGTGTATGCTCTGCTGTTAGAAGGCTTCCCAAGGAACAACAGGTCCCTGAATAATAGGGTCTTCATAGTCCAGGAAGTGCAGATCCATGCCTTGTCAGATATTTTACTGTATTTTGCCACATCTAGAGCTTCAAAGAGGAACTCCAGTAGTAGTGGTTAAAGCATTTGGCTGCTAACCAAAAGGTTGGCAGTTTAAACCTACCAGCTACTCACAAAAATGTGAGGCAGGCTGCTTTCATAAAGATTTATAGCCTTGGAAATCCTATGAGGTAGTTCTCTGTCTTCAAGGGTCATTACGACTCAGAATTGACTCAATGGGAATGGGTGGTGGAGAGCTTCAAACAACTTGACAGTGACTATTTCTATTTCATTCACTTATCATTATTATTTTGAGGGCCTACTAGACATACAAGGAGCCCGGGTGGCACAGATGTTAGGCATTCAACTGCTAACCAAAGATTCAAAGCTACCTAGTGGCTCCTTGGGAGAAAGACCTGGCGATCTGCTCCCATAAAACTTACAGCCAAGACAGCCAACAAACGCATGAAGAAATGTTCATGATCATCATCCATCAGAGAGATGCAAATCAAAGCAACAATGAGATACCATCTGACACCAGAACTAATAGCAAAGTTCAACAAGACAGAAAATAACAAATGCTGGCAAGGATGTGGAGAGATTGGGACTCTGATACACTGCTGAGAGGACTGTAAAATGATACAACCACTGTGGAAAGCAGTATGGTGATTCCCGAAAACGTTGGAATTAGAAATATCATTTGATGCAGCAATCCCATTACTAGGTATAGTAAAGAACTGAGAGCCAGGACAAGAACAGACATATGCACATCCATGTTCATCACAGCACTATGTACAATAGCAAAAAGATGGAAACAACTTATGTGTCCATCAACAGAAGAATGAATAACCAAACTATGGTACCTACACACAATGGAATATTATGAAACACTAAAGAATAATGCAGAATCTGCAAAACACTGCATAATGTAGATGAACTTCAAGGACCTTATGCTGAGCAAAATAAGTAAATCACAGAAAGACAAATATTATATTAGTTCATTGTTGTAAAAAGTCAAGGAAAAGTTTATATATAGAAGGAAATTTTCTTTGTTGGCTACCAGGGGTGGGAGGTAAGGGGAGTGAACATTGCAAAAATTAAAAAAAATTAAGTTAAAATTTTAAAAAAAATTACAGCCAAGAGAACCCTGTGGTTCAGTTCTACTCTGTAAATATGGGGTGGCTAGGAGTCAAAATAGTCTCAATGGCACCTAACAACAACAAGTACACATAGTATACTTCGCCAGGACTGGGGATACAAAGACAATACACAGTCCTTAATAATCTAATGGGGAGAAAGACCAAGGATCAGAAAATTATAGAATATTGTGAAAGTGCAGCCATAGAAATATGTACCAGGTATGATGGGAGAGCCATTACCTGCCTTGAAAGGGAAAAGTGTGTCTCTATGATCCACTCAGCCTTCAGGGACACACCTTAAATTTGTACAAGGTGTGCGTGGCACAACTTCAGAGTACACACTTCTCTTATAGGCTTCTTAGATTTGTATGGATGTCAGTAAAGTATCCTGAGCTAGAGGTTCCTCTATCTCTTTCCTTTAAAGTCCCCATTTGGACTTTATAATTATATGCTTATTCATTACATGCATTCTATGCTTACTCTTACTTTTATTAAAACATGTTTTAATCTCTAACTCACTGAACAACTATTTTCAATAATCATTGATTATACAGCTAGTCTAACTTGGACTGTTCTACCCACATTGGAACTCTTAAATAAATACAAGCCACTATCCTTGAACTCAAAAATATCTTAAACTGTAGAAAAAGGACACAAGCACGTAAATCAATTAGAAAATCATTAAATGTTAACCTGCGTAAGTAACATTGACTCTAAATCCAGTCTCAGTTGAGAGGACCAAGAGGTCAGCCTTGGTGAGATTTTAGTTTAAGATTGAAGGATCTAGAATATTTAGATAGACAAAAGAAGAAGTCCAAGCTGCACAGAAGGAATTAGCAAAAACAAGCCTCCAGGAATTGATGGACTACTCATTGATATGTTTCAACAAATGGATGCGCACTGGAAAGGCACTTACTCATTTATGCCAGGAAATTTGGAAAACAGCTAATTGGCCAGCGACCTGGAAGAGATCCATATTTGTACCCATTTAAAAAAAAGAAAAAGTGATCCATCAGAGTTGGAATCTATTGAACAATATCACTAATATCACACGCAAGTAAAATTTTGCTGAAGATAATTTTAAAATGGTTGCAGCAGTATATTGATAGGGAACTTCCAGAAATGCAAGCTGGATTCAGAAAAGGACATGGGATGAGGGATCATTGCTGAAGTGAGCTGGATCTTGACTAAAAGCAAAGAATACCAGAAAGATGTTTACTTGTGTTTTATTGACTATGCAAAGGCATTTGACTGTGGATCATGACAAATTATGGATAACATTGAGAAGAATGGGAATTCTAGAACACTTAATTGTGCTCATGAGGAACCAGTACATAGACCAAGAGGCAGTTGTTCAAACAAAACAAGGGAATATTGCATAATTTAAAATCAGGAAGGGTGCACATCAGCGTTGTATCCTTTCACCATACTTATTCAATTTGTATACTGAACAAATCATCTGAGAAGCTGAACTATATGAAGAAGAATAAAGCATCAAGATTGGAGGTAGACTCATTAAAAACCTGCAATATGCAGATGATGCAAACTTGCTTGCTGAAAGTGAAGATGACTTGAAGCATTTACTGATGAGAATCAAAGACTACAGTCTGCAGTATGGATTACATGTCAACATAAAGAAAACAAAAATCCTCATAACTGGACCAATAAGCAACATCATGATACATGGAGAAAAAGATTGAAGTTGTCAAAGATTTCATTTTACTTGGGCCCACAAACAACACCCATGGAAGCAGTAGTCAAGAAATCAGATGTCTTATTGCACTGGGAAAATCTGCTGCAAAAGACCTCTTTGAAGTGCTGAAGAGTAAAG